AAAAAAATGCATTATAATATAGTCAATTCTACAGATCAAAATAATTTTGTCTTAGATTTAGCAAAAAACCTACACAACAAAATACATTGTATTGAGGATTTTTATTTCAGATCGAACTTAATTTATTATTTTTTTATATTGAAGTATATTAACTGTCAAATAAATAAACAACTCTATAAAGTTTAAATACATTTATTATTCATTCACATTCATTTAAAAAATAAATCTGAACCAATGTTAATTAGTTCAGATGCGACCAAACACAACGCAACACACTCTAAATTTTTTTTTTGAAGAGCGAACTTTAGTTTGCACAAAAGTTTATCGAGACGAAGGGAGCCTTCTTAATGAGATAAACTTTTGGTTCATACTGAGTTACTTTTGTAAAAATCTTAGTCAACAAAAAATTCTATATTAACAAAAAAAGAACTAATGAACAAGCTAAGCAACAAGCTATAGCTTTTAAACTTGAACACGATCGAAAAACAGGAAATAGAAATGGATATTCAATAACTTATTAATTATATTTATATTTTATTGTTTTTTGATTATATTATCAGTTTTAAACCGACTCGAATTACTGTTTTCATTTTTGTAATCAATAAATTTATTTTAAGAGTATAAAAATAAATTGAGGTCATAAAAATGAGTTTTAACAAAAAATGGAACCTCGAGTAACTGGAGGGGAGATGGTTTTGGCAGAGAACGCTAGAATGCAAATAAGAATTTACGAATTGCAACAACAGATTCGTGCTTTAAATGCTGACAAAGATGAATTGGTTCAAGAAAATACATGTTTAAAAAATAGAAATCAAGAACTTGAAACTGATAATAATCAGATTCGTGCAGCAAATGAAAATTTGACGTGATTAAACAATACATTAAAAATTGTTTTAAGAGATGCTAAAGATAAGCGTGACTATTATTGTGCAGCAAATATCAAGGAATTTGAAGATTTTATTTCGAATTATATTTTTGGCTTATTTAATAATATTGGAACATTGTTTCGATTCGATAATCAATACACAATAAATATTGTGAATTTGTTGAGATTTTATAATTTCTTCAATATACCTATTGTATTCCATTATGTTAAAATAATTTACAGGAAGTTTTTAATGCCAATTTTTGTCATCCCATATGTAAATCTCACAGAGATGAAGAGAATTAAGGTTGTCGAAATACTTTTTGTGAATGTTGTCACGGTTTATTTGGGTTATAGTTAATTTTTTTTGTGTTTGCAAAGTTTGACAAAGACTTTATCATATTTATTATTTAAAATAACAATTATAATTTTTATTTAACGATTCGATCGTAAGAACAAATCAAACATCTTTTACTAATCAGTTTAGAAATCGATTAGATTTTTCTTTATTTAATTTTTACTGTTTTAAAGCTACAAGCCCCCATGGCATTTGAATAGGGTGGTGAGGCTAAGCGTCAGTCTGCACGAACACACAGTAGGGAAAAACTACCGAAATTAGATGTGATTGCCGATTTGTGCCAGACAAAATTCAGCTGAAAGTCAGATTTTCATCTTTGATGTGGCCCAGGCGAATCGCATCATATACATTTATTTTCTTATCCCATAATATATTTATCACAATTCCTGATTTGAAACATATAAAAATTTTATTTTAATTTTTTATATTAATCTTAATCTGTATTTTTTACCGATATAATTAAAGTTTAAATTCCTAATCGATATAATTACTGTTATAGTAATTTTATTATCTACAACAAATTTCTAAATCAGATATTCCAAATCAGGTAATAAAAAATGAAAAGTTGTTTGTTGATCCTCCTATATAAATACTTAAATTATCATGTATAATTAATAAAGTAAAAATAAAATAGACGTATATTTTGTTGATCTATGTATAAATATTAAAATAAAATTAGACTATTAAATATATACACATATAAAATCTAATTTAAAAATTAAAGTAATCAATATATATTGCAACTATATAATATAAATTTAATATAAAAATAAATAAACAATATAAATTATTAGTTTAAAATTAAATATTTAATAAATATCATTCTGAATATGTTTTCGGAAAAGTTTGAATACTTTGATTTCTTATATATTTTGTTTATGTAATAATAAAAATAATAACGTATATATTTTGTCAATTATATAATACTACATTAAATTTAAATTACAATTTATATTACAATGTAATTCAACGTAGAACTTTCTAGCAATTTTTTATCAATAAAAAACAAGCGAAAAACCTTCTCTCTTCTCACGATTTATTCATTTAAAACCTTTTGTACATTTATAAAATTGTTATCCAAACTTATTTTATTCACAAAAATTCTCTACAATTATTAAACAAAAATGCGTTTCTTTTACTTATTTGTTGCTATTATTGTTCTTTTCGGTTTAATTTTAGTAAACAATATAGAAAAATTCGACATCTTTACATATATTTTTGAAATTATTTATTCAAAAAAATTTTTTTCTTCGGAGTGACAGTATATTTAATATTTATTATATTTAATATCTGTTTCTAATGCTATTTGATAAAAACTTATTAATTTTGTAAGTTGGCAAAGTTCATCTTACTTGTATTTGTGAATTCGAATTACGCTGTCATAGAGTCATAGAAATATATTCTGAATGCTTTATGATAAGGATATATTCTATTATTTCTCGAGAAACTGACTCGTAGATTAGAGTTATATCTCTGAGATGGACGAGCTGCAAACATTGATGAAGAGAATTTTCATACTAATATTTTTTATTTATTTTATTTAGATAAAAATAATTTATACAATCAATTTAAAAATTGATTTTTTGAATCAACATGGCTGTAAGTTGGCAAAGTTCATCTTACTTGTATTTGTGAATTCGAATTACGCTGTCATAGAGTCATAGGAATATATTCTGAATGCTGCTATGATGAGAATATATTCTATTATTTCTTGA